TTTTTTTTTTCTGAATTATCCGCTTAAGTACATTTTTTTTTTTTTTCTGAATTATCCGCTTAAGTACATGTTTTTTTTTTTCTGACCACAAACTGTCAACATAGTAATAACCTTAATGAAGCAAACAAGATCCCATTTAATAAGCAGAAAACAATCATCAAAGCTTTTGTAAAGTTAAAAGAAACAAAAGTGCGTTATGCGAAAGTAAAATAACTTCAAATCATCTGCCTGCCAATCTATTCAAAAACGGCGTCACTTTGATTGCAGAAGATAACAGCTTCTCGTCAAAAAGGAAAAGCATCGTGTGAGCAGCATCTTTGCACCAGTGGAACTGTAAAGTTTTTGTGGACTGAAAATTTTTCTTCCCAGTTTCCTGATGGTGTTTTGAGAAAACTAGGCAAAAATGGTTACCAACCTTGAAATTGAACATCCCTTGACGCCCCATGTACGACAAAAATGAATTATATGCTTTGTAAAGTTTGAGGGATAACATGTTATTTATCCTTTTTGCCCATTAAGTCGACAGTCAAAAGTGATGTGGAGCTATAAGAATAACATTTTTTTGCTCCTGTCGAAAATTTCAAAGAAAGAATCACTGGCAATTAACAGCACCAATGCCCCGTTACATGTGCTGTACTTTTCAAATTGACAATGAGACATTTCCAGTTTTTTGCAGCATTCGCGACTATTTTTAGATTTACTTCTACCATTATTAACAAGATTTTGTAGGCTGTTAAAGGGTGGGAAAATTAGTAGATTTGAAACCACTTCCTCCTTATTTATAGTAGTTTTCTGTTGCTACGGCCACCTAATTTTTGCTAGAGATAAAAGTTTGCTAATAAGGAAGTAGCATCTGCCTCAGTTAAGCCACGAGGAGGCAGTAGAGGCAAAAATCATAAAAGTTTTAAATTACTTCAACGGAATTACGCTTATATGTAATGATCGGAAATTTTTTGGTTAGTCCTTAACTGAAAAAAAAAAAAAGAACCGTTGCGTTGCACACAAGTCTCATTCATTAAGGAACGATTGTCACACTTCCTTGGCCCAGAAAACAGTAAGAGGTTAGGCACTATTCTAAACCGTTGACTGTACAACAACTGCAATAAAATTTTGAAATTAACAGAAAAAACAATAGCGTAGAACGAAATTTAAAACGGGGAAGTAGTTTAAGACAAAGGCAGTAAGATCGATGTGATAGGCGGGCAAAATACGGGCTTACTGTCAGTGCACTATAAACATGCTTTAACTGCTCAACAGCAGTTAAAGCATGTTTAAAGTGCATAATATGAGAAAAATACAGTGTCATTTTCCACCGCACGGAGAACAAAAAAACTAAGAATAATGCAACATTTGGCCACCAAAATGGCAGTTAGCAAAGGAAAAGAGCCGACATCTGGAATAAGAAGAGGGAAACAACAGAGAGGTGCAGAATGCAGGCCAGATGCTCCGCCTTTGAATACAGAGCAAAACAGTGACGTTCAACACTGATGAACCGCACTCCTCTGTAGTATTTGACACATCTGTAAACTCGTTCTGTTTTGTCGAACTGTTGACCACCGGTACAGACGTTCTATTTGTGAGTTTGCAGAGATTGTTGCCGTCGCTCGTAGTCTGCCAAATTAGTCGTTTAAAGGATGAATGTTGCAACTTTGCTAGGGGTGTTTGGTTACTTTCTATTATTCGTTATTGTCTCATCATCTGCCAATCTTGATCTCGATGGCGAGCGGAGGTCAGTAATTTCTTACAGAATACTGGTTTCGTTTTGTACCTGTCAGTACTTTTTCTACTGTGTTCTATTGATGCCGGACTAGAGTTTGCGAAAAACTTTAGTTCTGTAAGCAGAGATTTCCAATAACGTGTTAATCTACAACACTAATTCTATAACAGGAATTCTAGTTGGTACAACTGCATTTGATAATGTAAGTTCTGTTCTGAACATCAGTCTTTTATAGGAAAAATACAGTTGCATATCAACTTGCGAAATTGCGGTACGACAGAAGCAAGAGTTTAAAACACATTTACGTCGGGAAACACCGTGCCTATGTAAAAAAACTAATTCGGGAGGGTTATGATGCATGGCAGAACTTTAAAAAGGAGCACGGTTAGTTCTTTCCCGGTGGATTATATGACTCAGATCATTACACCTGTTTTCGATTGTCTTTTCCTATTTTCGTACTTCCATTAATTTTCTGCATAATACCTGTACATTTTTTGTTTTTCAAAAGAAAAGATTTTTTCTGTTTTGACAATAGTCTTGTTTGCACATCTATTGTAGGTTAAATTGGACGGTATACATCTTTCGTCCATTAAAGTCAAGAAATGCATAAATTTGAATCTTTTGTTCGTACTTTTCAAAATTATGACATAGTACTTTCTGCAGCAAAGCACTACGATTCCGAAGAGATCGAAAATAGTAGAATGTTGTCCTTTTTGGAGAATTTTGAAGAGATTCGGGATCATAATATATTGTATACGAAAGGAGAGCGATCTTTTGAGTTAGGACCAAACCATATAGCAGATCTGGTAAACTTTATCATTTACTTACGGTCGGTAACCCGATGTTTACTACGTGCTTGCGTTTTGTTTACATTCTTTTCTATTTATTCAATCTTATCTTCAGATTCCTCTACGTTGACAGTTCTTTTCTGATTTTGACGAGTAAGGTGTTTTTATTTTCTTCCAGCAGTTGATGCAGGGTCGTTTTTATATCTCTTTTATGTGTTTAAATTGGACTGGCGTTCCACTGTTCCTGAAACTGCAGGTGTACTTTTCACAGGGTTGTTTTAGTCGTTCGAGGAGTACAAAAAGTTAAATGGGTTTCGCATGCTTTACGGGGATGCTGGGCGAAGAAATGCTACGACTTTCATCCTTCCCTATAACGTTCATATTCCTGATGAAGTTGACTGGCGTGAACAGGGCTTAGTTACTGAAGTGAAAAACCAGGTTCTCACTATTTTTTTCATGTAAGAGACAGAAATTTGTTTGGCTTGTCTTCTCCATAGTAACTTTTAAGGGAATGTGTGGCAGTTGTTGGGCGTTTAGTTCGACTGGTGCTCTGGAGGGGCAGCATAAACGAAAAACTGGCAAACTTGTGTCGCTTTCTGAACAGAATCTTGTGGACTGTTCAAGAAAGTACGGGAATAATGGTTGCAATGGTGGTCTTATGGACTTTGTTAGTTTCAGCGCTTTAAATTTTTGTTTGTTCTTCTCTTTTACTCCTCTCACTGATGCGCATTAACTTCCTTCAGGCATTTGAGTATATCAAAGATAACCATGGGATTGATACAGAAGCTTCTTATCCGTATAAAGGAGAAGACATGAAGTGCCACTTCAACAAAAAAACCATTGGCGCAACTGATATGGGGTATGTTGACATAGAAGAAGGAAGTGAAGAGAAGTTGAAGGTTGCTGTTGCAACACAAGGGCCTATATCAGTAGCCATCGATGCTGGACATAAAAGTTTCCAGTTATACAAAAAAGGTTTCCACTTCTGTTTAATAAGGAGTCTAAAACCACAGCAAATGCATTTTTTGATCCTTGGACCTTTGGTTTTAACGAGAAGCGCCAGTTTTTCCACAAATAGCATTTCATTTCATTTTATTAATTGATTTTTTGATTGATTTGGCTATTATACAGTGATGGTGATCAGCATTTTTCGAAAATTCCTCTAGAAGTAGTTGCTCCATTTAGGAATATATTACGAACCGGAGTGCAGCAGCGAACAGTTGGATCATGGTGTTTTGGTTGTTGGTTATGGTGCTGATGAGGATGGTAAGGAGTACTGGATTGTAAAGAACAGGTCTATTTTTTAGATTGCTCTTTTCTTTCCTTATATATATATATATATATATATATATATATATA